ACCCACCCACCCTCAAACTTTGCTTTATCCCGGTTTCTCCCATGAACTGTGAAGAGTTAGCGACTCTATGTAGACCGCTGACTGGTATACCGGCCTGACTGAGTACCGGGAACAAGGGAAAAACCGTGATCGAACAGCTATGCTTTGCCATGCTTCCTTGTTAATGTTTTATTATTTTATCTACTTTATGAGCAATTTGTAGGAGAATAAGCCTACCATTACTTAATTTGTAAGTACGTTACTGTTATTTACAGCTATATTCTTGTTGTTCTAGTAATTCTAGCTTGTATTTTCTATTGTAGAATCTCTTCTACATTGTTGTTTGAAAATAAAGCTGTAACATCAAGGAGAACTCTTCAAACTGTTATCACTGAAATGGATGCAAAATATCCACAATCAGAAAGAACTAAAAAATGGCAACCCTTCGACATCGTTTGATGTTAATCTGGTTGAAGGATTTAATCAATGTAACTGTGGAATCAGAAAGCTAAACACATTGTGAAACTTACGATTCAACAGCTTGTCTCTCACTTTTAGGACTTTCCTCTTTTCTTGGCAAATAATGTGGCTAAGGGAATAATAAAAATTTTCACAATACACACAATGAAAAAGTTTGTTTTAACACTGATAGATCTAAAGTAACATAACCTACTAAGTACCCAAAATCACTTGAAAAAAAAATATGGTAGAAGTCACAAATTCTATAAATAAAACACTCTTGTATATATGACCTATAGGAGAAATCCCCTCTTTTCAATTTGTTTTGCATTTACTGACCTGCACAATGCTCTGGATTTTTTGTTTTGATTTCACTTTGAAAATTCTTGGCATTCTATAACCTCCTTCAAAATCTTCACACCACGATGAGGAGGGCTGTGGATACAGTTTCTTTGGATTCTGTTACAGTAATAAATGAAGGCAGCAGTGAGAATTTGTAGATGCTAAATGTAGTATGAACTACAACAGGCATTATTCAAAGGCTCGACTCTGAGTTATCTAAATGCATGCACTTCTAGAGTTTAAGTATAAGTACCTGAAGTGAAACCATACAAAAAGTATTGTAATTTCAATTTACCCAGATACACTATTGAGATTCTTTTAGTCTCTAGATCGACTTAGCAAGTGGTTCATATAGCACCACTGAGAGATTATCTGGCATATTTTCACTAGAATAAGGCAACTAACACTTCTCCCCTTTTAATTTACACTCTAATAAAATTATCGGTATATATACACTTTCTTGACATACTGTTCTCTAAACATTTTCTAAGGTGCAGACTAGGAGAATTCATTCAACTATCAAGAGATTCTTTAGTTGGCGATTCAAGGCTGTGGTCTTAAGCAGCACCCAGTGGCCCCTGGCACCTTACTTTTGTTCTTGGGCGACTCGGGAATCTTAGTTTTTTTCATAAAAAGCACACTGGTATGCTTAGGCACCCTGGATTTTACAGTTTCAGAGCACTAGGCTCCCTTCACTTTTTCTTAGAGCACAGCCTTGTGATCATTTCTTTTATTCTCTTAACCTCAATGTTTGATATAGGTGTGATGTTGTAAGGAGAAATTAGATGCTATGCACCCTTTAGGGCATTAAGAGTTAATGGGACCTNCAATTAGTAACCAATGAGGAGGTAAATATCCACCACTTTCACCCACACTGGGGTGAATAGTTTTTTATCTACCACACTGTTGCTGGCTGCTCGGAGGTGAATAATACATACTCTTCACTTCTGAACTAGCCCATCAGCGTGCATTGAAAAGTACTGTTCACTAATAATGAATTTAGCTATTGTTATTATTGACCCCTCGGCAATAAAAGCAGGCTCCCACAGATACCAAAATTAGGGATTTTAAATGGCATTGAACATTTAATTATGTCACTAGTGCAGTGCTCTACCAATTGAGGTAACAAGCCAACTGGGAGCAGGCCGTTAAGTTGATTCGTAATAAACTTGTGATGATAAATCAGATATGATGAATATACGAAGTTCATATATTTTGAACTGCGGTTATAGATACGTATGATGTGCTCTCTACTGTGAGGATTGTGCATCATATGTATCTATAACCGCAGTTCAAAATATATGAACTTCATATATTCATCATATCTGATTTATCATCACGGGGTTATTAAGAATCAACTTAACGGCCTGCTCCCAGTTGGCTAATGTTAGCTCAATTGGTAGAGCGCTACACTAGTATCGCAGAGGTCATTGGTTGGAATCCTGTACAGGCCTGATTTTTTTCAGGTCTGATTTTCGCTATTGCATAAATAGCGCTGATCTCTACTGCGAGGATCGTGCATAAAACACATGAAATTATTGTTTACCTGCTGTTTTTCCATTGCTGAGCCTCCCTCTACTTCCACTACAAGGTGAAGCATATCTTTCATTAATTAAAAATGCAACAAAGTATTTGAAGTATAGGCAAAGAAAAAATTTTCAGAGAGCAGAAAGGAATTTAATTTAGATCTGACAGAGATTGCCTACAAGTAAAGTGAATTTTGCATAAATGTTGCTGTCAATTAAATAAATATGTAAAACCATACATTCAAGTTTTCCCATCACTGTCTCAATTTTTTGATCTTTCAAAGTTGGGTCTATTGTTGTCTGAGTGGCTTGTCCAATAGCTTCATACATTTTGTGAAGTCTCAACAGTAACTTGTCAAGTGCAATTTTCTGTTGGGAAAAAAATGATTATAATAGTAAATTGTCTGGTGAATCTTTATTTTTAGCTTGACAAATTATTTGCAAGTACAATTTCCATCATCAGCAGGTGGTTTATTCATTCATAACTCTCCATAAACAGAGTTTAGCGTGCAGAGTCAGACATTACCAGCAACTAGTGTCTGCTTTGTTCAGAATTTCATTGTTAAATCTTCTCATGCAGAACAGTCAATTTTGCGGACCACATCTTCACTTCACCAGACACTTCCTCTTTAACCCTCTGGAGTAATTAGCATCTAATTTATCCAACAGCAGCCCCCCCTGAATCAAGCATTAAGGTCATGAGAATAAAGGAAATGATGGCAAACTCAGGAGCTCTCAAGTGTTTAATTAACAATACACGCCTCGTTGGCTATCTATCATCTCATACCCTTGCAAAATGGTTTCCTAGCTTTCTAGGATTCCTAGGAATTTCCTAGGAATTTCTTAGGAGTCAGCTGAATTTTCCTAAAAACATTTAAGCTCTGCGCCTCGTTGGCTATCTATCATCTCATTAATCCAACGTATGCTTGTGGAATAATTGTTTTATAAAAAATGCTAAATTGAATTAAATATTATTCAATTTTTAGCTCCATTTTAATTTTAAGCTGACATGTAAGCTAGCCATATTTGTAGATTAAGGTATATTGGCTGATATACCATAATGGCTAAGCCAATAAAAAGTCTTGAATTGCATTATCCAGTGATCTAGTTTTTAATAATAACAAATTCACCTTGTAAGTACCATTAACAGGAAATGTATAGAGAATGGTATGGAGAACTTGGATTTTCAATTTGATGTTAGGGGTGTAAAAGGTTAGTTTAAGACCAGGCTTGATCAGTGTACTCACATGTACATCAATGACGCTGTTGACTTTCATTGGTTTCTCTTTCCAGGGAAGTTCAGGGTCAAAATTTGGCTTATCTGCAAATCATAGAAAAGTGGAGAGGAAATTATCTTTTAAACCTGTGAGTTATATTTATTTGACAAGAGTAATAGAACCATTGGGGCAAAGTCAGCCCACGAAATTAAGGGAGTAGTTCTGTTAACAGACAATGGCTGATTTTTCCACAATCCAGGCAGAATTCATCAAATGAATACTAAGCTCTCTGTGAATGGAATACATATATTCAACTCACAGACAACACCCATCTGCACCCATCGGGCGCACTGGACGTTAATGGGTTAATTCAGTAGACACTTGATTCTTTAATTTTTTTTCTCCTATTTTTTTTCCTACTCAGTATAATTATCTCTACGATAATTTCTTTACTTTATTATTGTTACAGTACTGGTTTACCTTTTAGAGGACTTCCTGTTAACAGGGTTCGTGCACTTTTTCAGGCCAAAGATTCAAGGACTTTTCAAGGACTTTCCAGGACCCTACTCAGAAATTTCAAGGACTTTTTGTAATGACAATTTTACCTCAAAACCAAGAAAAATGTTTCTGTAAACATCTATGTTTTGGGTTTACCGATGGTGCAAAACAAAAGCAAATATTTTTCGATGTTGTTCAATAAAAAATCAAGGACTTTCAAGGACCCAAAACGAAATTCCAGTACTTTCAAGGCCTTGAAATTGGCCTCCTGAAATTCAAGGGTTTTCAAGGGTTTTCAAGACATGTACGAACCCTGTGTTAATCATTAATTTAAATCTAAATGAAGTTGGCATCTACACTTAAGATAGATAAATAAATAATAAATTAAATTATTTTTTTAATTCTTTGTCTCTGATGATTCTTTGGTTGTCCAGATATCAGCCACTGTCAATATCAATATTAGACCCTTTCAGAACTTCCCATCCTCAGCAGGGGCAGATCCAAGAATTTTTGATAGGGGGAGTCCAAACTTTGGTTCAGAAAGGACTGTTGGACTCTTTTGAGGCAAATTACTTCTCCCCCACATCCCCCACACCCCCTCCCACCAGTCGCTGTTGCACGTTATAATTCCTTGGCCACTTACCGTTTACTTGGATTCATTAATTTAAAAAATCAGCCAGTAAAAAAGTGATATATGATCCTGCAGATGCAAGAATTTCAGTCTCAAAGTTGTAAGCATCAGGTCTGATAGGGGGGGTCTGGACCCCTCGGACCCTCCCCCTGGATCCGCCACTGCTCAGGTAATCATGCAGAGATACTACGTTTTCGTATGTTATAAAATACTGACCTTTTGACAAAAAACTCTCAGGTACTCCCAGCCCGAGGGCATGCCAGGAACGAGCATCAAGACTTTGCATATAATTTGACCATTCAAACTTGTGATGATCTGAGTGCCAGTACTCTGCCACCTTATCATCATCCTCCATGTTTTCACTTTCCTCTTTCCTTGAGACTGCTGTAGAAATTTCCTTCAAGCCTCCAGACTTTACTGGATCAGTTTTGCTTTCTGGTGAATCTTCTGTATCTGCATAGCAACAACAAGAGGATGTAAAGCAGATTCAGAAAAGAAAAGAAAAATAAACGGGCAACAGAAACCACTTTTGAGTTAGTCAAATTATTTACAACATACCGAATGGCATATCAACAATCTCAGACACCTCCACTGCTGGAACCACATCCTTAGCATCAGCTTCAAGTGCTTCTAACTCATTAATGCCCACAGAACTAACCACAGAAACTGATCGTTGATCATCAAAATCTTCGGGTTCTGATTCTGGTTCAGCAGTGGTATCAGATTCTTGATCAGACTGACCCTCCTGTGAAGTTGTTGGAGGAAACATCTGCATCAAATTGTGGAATGATGATTGATTGCTGCCACCTTTTGAGCCATGTGACCTCTTCCTCTGTTTCCTGTTTGGGAAGAGCTCCTTTAAGTATAAGATAACTTCAAAAAATCAAAGGACTTTGTGCATCAACAAACAATTCCTACTTATGCTACTAAACCACTGGTTGCAGTTCAGGTTACCTTTTTTGGGACAAGCTCTTTTCTCTGACAACAGTATTGTCCTTTTCAGTCTGTAAAACTGTGTCAGTTACTATAACTGGATGTTCGTCTTTTTTCTTTTCTTCTAATTTAGTTGTTGAGATTGATCCTAGAAGGTAAAAGATTTGTGTTTGTATAAGATCTTCATGTACGAATATGAAGGGGAAACTATCCTAAGCTTACAGGTAGGCCCTTCCCAAAACCTGTTATTTTTCACACAACAGATAGCAAGAGAGAGTGGTGCTAATTAAAATTTCATTATATGACAAAATGTGAAGAGTTGCAAGAAAACTGTCACCACCTTTTTAAAACTGGGGCTTTAAGAAAACATATAGTTTAATACACTTGCATTTGTTGTCTCACCTTTAATTTGTTAGAAAACTATAAAATGGTTATGAAAAGAGGATTTCATGATTCAGGGGTTTGTTTCTGGGACACTATAGGGCAGTTACATGACAGTAGTAACAGTGTAAATGTTTTTTCAGGTATGCAAGCATTTAGCTTCCAGGATCTGAGTCTTTTAAGATGGTGAAAATTAATGATCTTCAAAACATTTATAGGATATACCAAGGGCCTTGGAGTCTGTTAGCTGCATTCTAGCAATTTCCTTCACAATAGGTGCTGCCTGTTTGCTGTTCAGTGTAGTACTGGCTGCAGGTCTCCTCTTTTCACTTTCAAGTAGTAGTTGTTGTTGTCCATCTGAGAGTATATTCCACAGCTTTTCAGAAATCTGATCTTTTAATCCTAATTCAGGGGTCTGGTTTGAAAAACATAGTTTTTAATTAATTGTAGTATGTTATCAAAATTCACTCTGACTTAAAGTTCCCATACAGTCCAGCTACGGAAGGTTTCTGATTATGAATGTACAGTGTAAATTAAACCCTGGACTGTATTTATCTCTTGTCATGGGCTGTTAAACATTATAATGATTATATACTGATAGCAGAATGATGTCAGTCTATTTGGGAAAGTTTAGTACCTTACTTCTCGCCAGCAACAACCTGTTGTACAAATGGCAGTAGCTTTTAGCAGTAAGCAGTACTTTCTCCAATCTGTCTTGAAGCCATTTCACCCTCTTTTTGGCTGCATCAACCTGAGTAAATATTAAACATTATGAATACAAACAAATGATAAGACATTTTAAAATAATCAATCACACCTCAGAGTATGACCACTGCTAGACTTGTTCACAAGTTGCGCTTTTAAGCACGAAGCGCGAGCTGAGCGAGCGAGTGAGCGAGCAATAAAGCGAATGACTTTGAGAAAGTCTATACCGCTGCTACAACGAGGAGAATCGATGTTGAAATCAACTTGCACATGGGAGGAAAGCATTCTCATTAATGTATGATCTCTGCCAGTCCCAACCCTTGGACCTCTAAGAGTGGCTATGGCTAACATCTAAATTCTCCTTACAATATCACCCTGAAACAAAGATTAAGGTTATGAGAACCAAGGAAATGATCACCCAATGGAAACCAACAATATTCAGTTGAAACTTTGTGATCTAGTTTTATCAAGTCACTATATTGTGAGTCAAAATATTAGAATTCTTCCATGACTCTGTCATAATTATAATTTGATAATTCTGAGATCTTTGGAATCTTACCCCAGAATTCACTTTTATGGCTCTTTCCAGGTCTAGTCGTGCATGTGCTAGCTCATTCCGAATCTTCATTAAAACCTACAAAGCAATTAAAAAAAAGATTAATACTTCAATCTAGTAGTAACAAATTTCACTCTATTTTAATTTAAAAGAAAAGCTTTCAAAGTGTTGAGGTTCAACTATTTCTTGGTTTAAAGCTTTTTCATAAGCCAATTTCGTATTTTTCTTTTTTTCACAGGTTCTGGTTGGATCCTGTTTACAATAATTGTAATAAATTCAAGAGGAAGAATTAACTCAATGAAACTATGAATGAAAGTTTGAAGCAAGAGAAAATTTTAACCATGACATTTAGCTGGAGACAGAAAGTAATGGTCTTATACAATATTTATTCTCTGACTTTACCTTTAAATTTAATTGACACTATTTTGTAACTACAATTATGCTTTGCAGCAGAGTACCTGAATAACTAAAAGTAGCTCCCCACTTCTGCTGAAAAGCTGCTCCAACTCTTTCTCAGTCTTTTGATGGTCATCCTGTCAAAGAAATTGAAGGTGATTAAAAATCTGAAAATGCAATAAGAAAGTGATAAAATTTATTACACATCAGGATAATTTGTCACAAAGTAAAAATTCAGCATACTGAAACAGACTACAAAAGGTAATAATTGAAGGAAAAATAACATTTATAGCTGTAGTGAGTGGGTACCAGATGGATCTACAGGTTTCCATTGTGGCTAACTATAGTTCCAAGATTGAACCCACACCCCTCCCCTCCCCTCCCCTCCCCTTCCTTCCTTCTTTATGCATGGCAAATCTCAACAACCAAGCAATGACCACTCATATTTTAGGCACTCTGCAACATTAATTAGGTCAAGGCATGGAAAAAGGATAAAAGGGATGGGTGGGGTAGGGGAAGTAACTGTACTGCAAGATTAAAAAAAAAAAAAAAAAATTGGCAAGATCTACCACTGAAAACCATTCTCTGACCAAACTACCAAACCAAATAAGAAATTTCTAACACGCCCAGAGCAGCTAATAAGATTCCAAAAATTGACATCGCTCTCAAGTTTGAATTATAGCAATTAAATTACAAGTTGTAGCTCCTTACACCTGGATGTATGTAAAATTATGTAGAATCCCTGGTTAACTTAAAGGGTTTTATGACCCCCCTTGCTCTGAAACCAATTATGGGATTCCACTCTGAGCATATGATCACAAGCAAATGTTACGTTATTTTGGATCTTACCTCTGCGGAAGCTTTTTCAAGGTTTTGTAAGGTTTTCTGTAGAGCATTCTGAGTTTCTCTCATGATTACAAGCTTTAAGTAGAAAAAAAAAATTAAAAAATCAAGTGCACCCCCACAAAGTAATCAATACGCTTATTTCTATAGTATTTTAAAGAAAGAGCCCTACAGGTATGACTTAAGTGGCAATTTTGACATTTTGGTCCTTCCTCTTGAAAATACCTTCGTGCCAACTTCGTTTGTTTTGACTGAAAGGATTTTGTGACGGGTTCCTAATTTACCATTAACTTCATTAAATGTCATCTAAATAATTTATTGGTTTCTAAAATCATCGATACGAGACTTAACGAATATAATTCATCCAAAGAAAAACTCGTTTAAATCAAAACTGCATATACCTGTTCCTCGATCAAAGCCTCTGATCTCTTGTTCCTTTCTCTGATCGGACGAAGCCCGATCACAGGTTTGTTTTCCGATGACCTGAACTGATCTGCCCTTGGAGCTGACATGATGATACATTAACTAATAAAGTGTCTAAATCCGAAAAAGGTGATCGATTTTGCATTAATCTACAAATTCAAGGTGAAAAAGAAAATTTCTTCAGCAAAGCAAAAGTGCAAAAATGAAAACAAGTCTCCTTCAGTCATTTTGCGCCGTTTCCATGGCTCCACAGGTTGCCTGGTGCCTACTTGACCTGGTTACACAGCTATTCTCACATGTCTGAAAGTTTCAAAATGGCGACCGTCGAAGACGAAATTAATAAAGATGGGGAAGACGTTACTTTCAAATCGCTGGTAACGAGGTGTAATAATTACACATTTTACAGCATCTTAAATGAAGCTTAGTAATTTGGCCTTTGATGTTTTCATCAGGGAATTGTCGATGTTTTGTGTGAAGCTTGCCAACAGCTGGGATGGAAGTCACCCACAAAGATACAAAGAGAAGCTATTCCAGTTGCTTTACAGGGTAATGATCTGTAAAATTTTCCAATATTTCAAGAATATTTTATTTGGTGCAGATTGCTTATAAAAGATAGGCAATTCAGAATCGAATTTTCTTGTTTCGTTATCAATCCCAGTCGAGGATCTTCGAATTTGAATTCTTCTCTTAATGGCCTTTTTGTTTAACACTTGAACTCCCAGAATTGATTAATATGTGACCTCTCCAGGAAGTGAGAATAATCAAACTTTTCAGGCAAAAATTTTTATCTTGATCTTACACCAAATTCTTGTATTTGATTTACAAGGAAATATTTGTCAGCTAGCTAGAGGGGTGAAGTAGCAATATGGATTAAACACCTTACGTTGATGGCCTGTGTTAGTAGAGAGGAAACAACATAACTGTTTGATATTGAGAAAGGGACACACCTTGGGGGTATGACGTAATGTATTCCATAAGGTAAAACAGCATGCACTTGTTCCTCTGGCCACACAGTTGAAAGTGTCGACTTGATCAATTTTACTTGCACTGAAAAAACTGGCAGGGATTTAAAAGCAATTTGCCTTCTTAATACTTTAAAAATGCTTTGAATTATCTTATACTCTTTTTTGCAGGCAACGATATTATTGGTTTAGCAGAAACAGGCTCTGGAAAGACAGGAGCATTTGCTCTTCCAGTTCTTCAGAAATTACTTGAAAATCCACAGAGATTGTATGCCCTTATTCTAACACCAACAAGGTTTGATTGATTGATATTGCTCAAATCCTATTTATTTTCTGACTTCATATGCTTTGGTGAATCTACTTTTTTAAAGTTTATTTATAATTATTGTAAGTGAAGTAATGTGAAGGGAATTTTCAAGGGTATGCTCTTGGTTTTCATGTTTTTTTGTGTTTCAATCAGTGATAAGAGAATTTTACTTGATGGTTATTTTATAAATATTGTATTGCTTTAATTTGTGAATAGAATAAGAAAATGGTAAATTTTGTAAACACAATAAGAAAGATGATAATGAGCCTTGCTCACCTTAGAGTCTCTGTGGCTCCGTGGTAGAGCATCAGTGCATGGAATCTGAAGGTCTGAAGCTTGATTCTTCATGGAGACTCAGAAATTTTTTCTCTTTCTCTATTTGTTTGTTTGTTTTTTTTTATATGAATTCAGAGAACTGGCATTTCAAATTTCTGAACAGTTTGAAGCATTAGGAGCAACTATTGGAGTGAAGTGTGGTGAGCTTTTGCAATTTATTATCTAGGACTGCATTGATTTTGCTTAACATTGCTCTGTGACTGGTCAAAAAAAACTTGTGCCACTTTCTTAACCAATTAGATACAGAACTAAAACCAAGCATGACTTCGTTGGCCACCAGAGTTTTCCTGCTGTTTGGGCAATTTTTTAATTGCCCCATTGCTAAAAGATTTTTCAGTTTCCCAGGGTACCCTTCTATAACAGCTTCAGCAGATGGGTTTACCTCAGTTAAATATATTATTATTATATTTGTTATTTTATTGTTATTATTATTATTATTATTATTATTATTATTATTATTATCATCATTATCATTGCTTAGTTTTAGTTTGAGTTCTTATTGGTTTGTAAAGGTTTTTCCTTTCTTCGGACTGGTTGTTGTTATAACTCTGGTTTTGGTTTTGGAACACTCAATCGAAAAGGGCTTTTATATTTGAGCTAATTACCACATGGTTTTTGAGTATTTGATATCAGCAAGGTGTGACTAAATTACATATTATAATTCTCTGCAGCTGTAATAGTTGGTGGAATTGATATGATGTCACAAGCTCTCATGTTGGCAAAAAAGCCACATATTATTATAGGTAATAAAAAAGTGCCTTCTTTGTAACTACATTTTTGTCAGTAACTACTTGAAATGCATGTCTACACCAAATCAAAATATGGAGTCAAATTTGAATTGCCATTGTTCTGGACTCACTAGCCTCTCTCACATGTGACAATCCTTTTCTATTTCCATGTGAAGTTGAGGCTAGCGAGTCCAGAACAATGGCAATTCAAATTGGATGCCATACTTCGATTGGGTGTATATCAGGGTTCATATGGGCCCAGGAAAACCTGGAAAGTCCTGAAATTTTATTTTGTCATTTTTGTGAATTTAGAATTTGCATTCTAAGAAATGTATGTAGCCTGTCAGGAGAACTGATTTTTAAATCTTCGAATGAAAGGGTTTAAGGTGAAATTTGAAGTCCTGGAAAAATCAGTCTGAGTCTGGGAAAAGTCTAGGAGAAATCCTTAAAATTTGTGTGTGAAAAAGGGTATGAAGCCTGGTATATTAATTGAAACTCTTCAAGTCCCTGATTTATCAAAGGGTGATGTCTAAAGCTGTAAGATTGTCCAAAGATTAATAGTTGGTTGTGAAGCAAACTTTTGAGGGTAACTGTGAAATTTGAGGATTTTCTTTTAGTCAGCAGATGTTGAAATTAGCTGTCAGCAGTAATTCTATTATTGTCAAAAAATCATTTGGTTTTCTTAAATTTTAAACATGTAAAAGGATTGCTGTACCAGTTTGAACATTTATTTCACTTGTCATGCATAAAATAAGGGAGAATACTCCATTATGTTTTAGAATACCAGAAAACCAAACTGCTGTTTTTTATTTGTTTTTAATTGTTACCTCAAAAGATAAATTGTCCTACCAGATTTGACAGAAAATAGTGAATGAGTTAAAACCAGAGATCTATAATGTACAATTATTTTTTATTAATTTTTTCATCTACACTCTGTACCTGTTATAAGTTGCTCTTGTTGTTTGTGACATATATTTCCTCTGGGAGGAAGTAGACACTGACAAATTTCTATTTTTTAGCCTCACCAGGAAGGCTTATTGATCACCTAGAAAACACAAAAGGATTTAACTTAAGAACTCTGAAATATCTGGTAGGTGATTATCGTTGTTTATTACAACTGCTCCAGTGATTATAGAGATGCTTGCACTCTGACTGGTCGAGGATTACGTTCTATCTTGCCATGATCACCTTGTGCAAGGTGAATACAGTGAAAGTACTAAATTTCAAAATAGCTGCCTTGCATTTTTGTCAGTGTTACCAGAGAACCAATAAACAAAATAACGAAAATTCAATTCCGTAGAGCACAAAAGGTGCTAATAAGTTTGGTGTAACACTTCTCAAAAGAAGGATACAAAGTTTTTGTGGATTAACCTGTTAATTTCAAGTAGAAACTGGCTCTTTATTTTGATATGACCAATGGAAACAATTGAAACAGAAAGGTTTCAGCGTCAAAACAAATATTTACAACAGAAGTCAAAAGCACCAAAGCCATTATATTTATTTATAACAATTATTTACTTCAGGCTCAGTGAATATTGTTGAACAATCCCCTTGCTTTGCCTTATTCAATCTCAACATATTTAACTTAAGCTAACTCCAGTTACTTTTGATACAAGTTTACCCCCACCCACAATGTTTTTCCTAATCTCCTTACCTAGAAGGGTCTACAATTAATTGGGACACAAATTTTAAAAGGTGATCTTTGCTAATTCTCTCTTTTGTATTTATAGATAATGGATGAAGCTGATAGGATATTAAATCTTGATTTTGAAAAAGAGGTTTGTAAAAGAAATGATAGAAAAGGAATTAGTCCGGTTGTGCAACAACTGTGTCATTATCTTTGTTAATACAACCTTTTGTAGGCTCTTGGATTGGAACAGAAACTGGCCTTGGAATCTGTATTTCTTTACATTTATTGGTTTTTTGACATGTGGTAATGCATGTTGTTGCTTGTTTTGTCCCTATTAAAATAATACACTTTATTCAAGAGGGTAGCACTGAACAGTTACTGAAACTAGTAAACTTGTGGCCTTCTAATTAATTTTATTTAAGTCAGTTAAAATATTGAACGAGGTTATTGCTTTCAGTAAAGCTATATTGCTTTCTTCTTTACGTATTGTTGAGATGAAGAAATTAGAGAAAAAATTGATATTACAATAGCCCATTTCTGAATTACCCTTGGCCTCATTTTCAAAACGAGTCCTGGTGCTCATCCTTTCATATGATAATAAGTTTTCATTCACATGCAAATTGAACTCATTTTCACAAGAATGGTTGAGCACCAGACCTCGTTTTGAAAAGAGGCCAAGGGTAATTCGGAAATGGGCTATTGATATTCCTAGGCTGTGCTCTAGGGAAAATTGAAGGCAGCCCAGTGCTCTGATATTGTGAAATCCAGGGTGCCTAGCATCTTCTATTAATTTAAAAGAACTAAGATTCCCCAGTCACCCATGCGCAAAAGTAAGGTGGCGAGGGACCACTGGGCACTGTTGGACCATAGCCCTGATATTAGCGACCTTAAGCAAATAAAACATGGCGATGACAACAAGGATGTAGCAAAACAAACAACATGCATGTTAAAATTTTGTACATTCCCTACCCATCCTTAGAAAACAAAGTGAAAACACTAAGACTCGGCGATTTGAGAACAGAAATATTGATAGCAAATTATTTAAGTTTCCTTTTGGAACTCATTGCTAATCACATACCTTAAACATATCCAGCAATTTGCAAAATTCTTACTAAAAATAATGTGACTCCACTTTTTTAATCACCAATTCCCTTGGCATTGCCATCTTGACTGTGTAAGGTGCCTAATGGGTCTGAGAAGAGGAAATTGATATTAAGTTGAACAAAGAGTCTCACATTTGCTGAACTTTAGGTGGACAAGATATTGAAGATAATTCCCAGAGAGAGAAGAACATATTTATACTCTGCAACTATGACAAAAAAGGTGACAGATATTCTTTATTTATAGTAATAAAATAGTAATAGTTACCTGTGAAAAGGATATTAATAATTGTGACTAAAGAGTTTTGTAATCAGCTGTCATTTTCTTTGGAACACTGTACAATCTGTTTTTTTTTTTTTTATTATTATTATTTTGGAAGGGAGTAGATTGAAAAAAGAGGAGAAAAAAGATAATTTCAAACTGAAGTACTGTTGTATTTAATTGAGGTAGAATTTCTTTTGTTTTTCTGCAACTGTAACAGTAATGTTTAATGGGAAAATTACATTGGTACAGCCTGAAAAGCATTATGTTATTAGGCACGTTCTGCTTACTGCAGTTTATAAATCTGATTCACTTGAATTTTGTCACAGGTTCAAAAGCTTCAAAGAGCTTCTTTACAAAGTCCAGTCAAAGTTGAAGTTGCAACAAAGTGAGTGTTGTTCATACCTGTTTGGTGCACTCTGTTTGTTTACAACGTAGCTATTATCAAGTAGCGTTGTGGACACTAAATGTACTATTGATAGCTTCAGATAACAGAATTTCCTTCTCATTTAAGATATACCACTGTGGACAAGTTACAACAGAGTTATTTGTTTATACCAAACAAATTTAAGGTAAGGAATATGCCTCTGGTGCCATTGATGAATCCACTTTGGACAAGGATCTGTGATGAGGTGCCATTGATTCCTTCAACACTTTGACCCCCATGAGAGAGCAGCTCATAATTTCTCCAGCGTACTCCTTTGTCACCTAATCTGATTCTTATTGACGACACTGACAATTTTTGTGAGATTAATGCTGAAATGCTCATTTGTTCCAAATATTCTGCTACCTGATAATTCTTCTTCCTACTGTTAGTCCTGTTCGTCTTTGAAGGTGTGATTCCTTTTTTTTTTTTTTTCCCATAGGACTGTTATCTTGTATCTGTCCTCAATGAACTGGCTGGAAACAGTTTCATGGTGTTTTGCGGCACATGTAACAATGTGCAAAGGTAAGTAACCTTTTGACCTCTAAGAGTGATGGGAATCTAATTTCTCCTTACAATATATTGCTAGATTAACATTATCAGAACAAAGGAAATGATCGTCAACTAAAAAAGAAGCTCTTGATCGTTAAACAAATATTATTCTGTAGAGAGAACAGTATGGAAAAGTTGGATTCTGTTGTTAAAATGCCAAACTGTTTAAATGCCCAAACTCTTGTCTAATACAGACATCCATTATTGGATTTTTTTTTTTAAGGGTGACACTGATGCTGAGAAATCTTGGTCTCCAGGCGGTGCCTCTTCATGGACAAATGACTCAGGTATCAAAGACAGTAACTGTATTCTAACAATAAGAATATTAAATGTGCAGATTTCAAACTGAGAGTTTGAAATCTGCAGTGGTGTAATAGGAAGCTGTGGCTAGGAAAGGTGCCTTAGCCCTTCATCTCCCAAAATCTGATTATTTTTAATTCTCGCCTGTGGCTGCTACACATTTCCTTGTTAATTAGTGACAAGAATTTGGTGTTAGATCGAGATAATAATTTTTACCTTATTATTTTGAGTATTCTCATTACTTTTTTTCTGGATAATGTATGGAAATTACCGGGAGAAGTTAAATGTTAATCACCTCTGGGAGTTAAAGGGTTAAGGCTAAACAGACGGCAGTAAGATGTGTTATAGGCAGTGGTATAATGTAGTTGTGTAAGCAAGCACACGATTGTAAGCCAGTACACTGTTGTAAAAACCCCCCCTTCTGGGGATGAATGAGGTTGTTTCTATGAATAGTTCTATGAATAGTTTAATGAATAGCTTCTATGAATAGTTTAATGCGTTTACCGGTATTTGTTAACACAGATCGGGTGACTGAAGCTCAGAAGTATTTTGTTTTTCCATTTTTTAGTCAAAAAGACTTGGTGCCTTGAACAAGTTCAAGTCTAAAGACCGTTCAATACTGATCGCCACAGATGTGGCCAGCAGGGGTCTGGACATTCCACATGTGGACGTTGTCGTTAATTTTGATATACCAACTCATTCTAAGGTACAAATGTATGGAAATAGTAGCCTCTTTCACTTGCCTTTAAAACATGCTTAGAATTTTGTCCGCGATATTCTCTGTTTCGAGAGGCAAACGGTTTCTAGGGAAAACTCTTGAGTAGCAAATAATGTCCAAGGACAAAACCCTTTATAAAGCGAAGTGGAGGCTGTCATATTTATTAGTAGGAAACAACTTGTTGAATGGGGCCGCGTTAAAACCAGTTCAGCTTTTAACCCGTTTGGTCAACTTCCATGAGCGATCAAGACTGAATTTACCCTTAGAACATCCATACAATATCAAGCAAACAAGTGATGATAATAATAATAATGATAATAATAATAATAATAATAATAATAATAATAATAATAATTACAATAATAATGATAAAATGTACATCAATTAGGGGATTATTAGTTGGCTTAAAACCAAAATTTCCGATCCAATATTATAAGAATTGTTTGGCAGACAGTAAGGAGAATTACTATGATGAGATCTTGGTAATCGGAGGGTTATAATGTCACATCTCCAGCAAATTTAAGAGAATAATTTACGACAATCACTGGGAAAGTTGAAATATCAAACTTAGTGCAGCCATCTCCCTGTGATTGTTTCGTATCGTATCTACCCATTCCCGGCAAGGTACCGTACATTTGTTTCTGGAAGTTCTTGCTAACTATCATGTCAAGTTGAGAACAAGGCTCTTACTCTCATTCATTCATATTCTTTTTCTTTAGGATTATATTCACCGAGTTGGACGAACAGCCAGAGCTGGTCGGTCTGGACGCGCTATCACGTTCGTCACTCAGTAAGTTAGTCCTCAATTTCCTTTAATCCTCGCGAATGGATGGAATGGTTTCTATGTATCTCGAACTGTATAGATAGAGTGTCGTAACAAAGTGCAATGTAAGCTACCAAGGGTTAGTATTCCTATAAAAATGTAACGGACGAGGAAACGTGAGCTTTTTCTTTTTTTTTCCTTTTTTTTTTTTAGTTGTTTTATCTTCCCTTCTCTTTCCACTCCATGATTTAATGGAGAGCTAAGAAGTCCTTGTTTTATTTACAGGTATGACGTGGAATTATATCAACGAATCGAGCAGCTTATAGGCAAAAAACTACCTCTCTATCCGACAGTGGAAGAGGAAGTCATGTTACTGATGGAACGAGTTACGGAGGCACAGAGATACGCTAAGATGGTAAGATTTCCCTCACATTCGTCTCCATACATTCAAGCGTGTTTGTATGTAACATGTATGTACAGTTTAACGAGTAGGTTCCATTTTGCTGTTCGGCTGTGCCGTATAAGAACACGGGTGACATCAAAATTTGGTAAGAATAAAGAGTGTGTTGGCTGAACACTAATGGCCGGTTATTTAAACAAAGTTTAGCCGTTGTTTAACAAATCCGCGTTTTAAGCCATCCTTAATTTAGCCGAACCTATTACCTGAACATTTATTTTTGGGAACACCGTCAAGAGAGCCCAAAGCTAATAGTGGAAGGACCTTCAATTCATTAAATTAAATTAAATTAAATTAATCCCTGAGGCCCCTCTGCTTGCGTGGAACAGCGGTTTGGGTTAGGCCTCTTGTAAATAACCGGCCTTGAATTTCACCCTTCGTAGGGGTTGCTCATTGCAGTCCCAGAGTCAGTGGACCCTTGGCATATCTTGTGCACCTCCTCCTGGATCTCGTTTTTCTCTGAGTAACTTTGATTCTTCCTATTCTCATTTAGGAGCTCCGAGAGTTACAAGAGAAAAAGAAGAGGCCCTTGGAGGAAAGAGAAGACAGTCAGGAGATCAGAATGCCGAGCAAGAAAAAGAAATTTGCTGCTGGCAAGAAAAAGGGAAAGAAATTTAAATAAACAATATTACATATAACGTATTTCATCGCGCAGGGCTCCTTTGCATTGAGAGTGCCGCCTTGCATCCATCCATTTTTCAAAATCGCAAAATTGTGGCATTGAAGCAGTGGAATCGCGATGTTATTGTTTGAGAACATTCGACGAACGAATTTCTATCAAAACGTTGCGTGAGCCATTAAAGCATCATCGTAAACTGCCACACCAACGTTGCATGATTTGTGAAATTTAATGACTTGAAATCACAACAGTTTCAACAGTAATAGTCGTGGATATGTACATAGAATTCCTAGCATTTATATACATTTGAAATTTTTTACTGTTTGTCGCAGATATGCTTTTTTTTTTTATGATACTACCCTTCAGTTATACCAAAGCTTCTTCAAACTGTTTTTTTTTTTTCAAATCCATTAAATTCTCATTCCGATAGAAAAACGTGTTAGCGTTAATCTTTCCCGAGTGCTGTCACTGTCACAGGAACCGTGACCCTCTTGCTTTGCTATTTCTAGTATTTCTCTACCAGTGTCCCGGATATTGAAAAGTGTAAGAGATCCAAAATCCAATTAATCCATTTGTTCGTTCGTTAATTCATCTACGTAGTTATTTTATTCGCCTCAAACTCCTTCATAACTGCACTCCTACTGATTTTTGGCATGGATGTAAAAATCGGTTACAAAGCTAGGTCTGTTTAAGAGAGCAAGGAAAAAATCAATCAAAATTAACTTCGTAGTGTGGTTATTTTCTTCTCTTTCACGCTAAATTCTTTTATCGCCTATTCCATCTTTTGCTTTCTTCCAGGCGTTTGATTAGTAAACAGCGAGTTTGTTTCGCTCCACTCTGTCGATCCCATCGCGCATTTATTAAATGAGCAAACGCCTGCAACAAGCAACTCTAATCTTTAGGACAAAGTTCTCATTAGCTCCCCCTGGACAGCAATGTTAAGAGGCCTCTACTCTCTTGAGACAATCATGTCTCCATGGTGACGATGTAACTTGCTCATCCTTTACATCCACAAAATGGTTTAGCGTTTTGTGTGGGTTCATGTAATCCAAACTGGTGGGAAGGTACTGAATTTTCTACAAAACACCAAAGAAAGGTCTCATCAAAACACTTTTCACCATTACCTCCTCAACAACTTACCAAACCGCGTCTGGAAAGGGAATTAAAGGACTGCCGGGGTGCTTACTGCAATCATTTAGTGAACTCAACCAAGAATAGTTTCGGAACTTATTCAGTCCGTGAAAAGAAAACAGGTGCATGAGGATAAGAGCATAAGTAATCGTGTCTATTGTAACTGAAATTGTTTCCAAACCCAATTATGTTTACACAGGAACCGAATTACCGCAAATCAGTTCTAGATTACCGTGCAGTTATGTCCTGTAAGGTTACCTTAATTTGTTTTCCTGAAAAAAGCCGTTTTTTTTTGCAGCAAAATATTCAATCAACGGAAGACGGAATGCGTCCGTTAATGAAAACTTGGCCTTATTTTCTGAATCTTCTTAATTTTTTCACCTGTTGGTATTTTCTTCAGCAAGTCCTTTGCTATCATCGAGAAGAGTTCGGCTGGTAAACATGAAAAATAAAATCCATCGAACAGTTTGACCATCAGTCAATGAAGCGATAAATCTATTTGTTAATCAATCGATGAATTAGCTTACAAGCAGTCCCTCCTTTTCGACGAAGTCCGTCGCATCGGCGCCACTCCAAGAATTCTCCGCAGCGTGCCAACATCAATTTTTTTTCCTATTTATTTTTTCCTCGCACGACGAACTTAGCCGAAAACGAGGGACTTCTCGTAGTCTATCAATAAATCACATCAGAAATCAATATATCATTCAGTTAATCGATTTATAAATCAATCAATCTATCAATTAATTAGTGTACAACAAGTATTTCGTTATGTACTTACTGACGTTTTCTCCCGTTTTACTTGACGTCGCGATTACTTTCCTTGCATTGATTTCTGGGAAGATTGGGTAAGTGTCAGTGGTAATGAAAGTAAATCGGTGGAAATATGACGAGTAAAACCCAGAAGAACAGAATAATACCCAGACCCCTGACTTCTTCTGGTCCACAGTAACTCAAATAAATAAAGAATCTGGCCGATGTATATGTTGTAGTTTAATTTTATCCTTGGTTCAAATTTTATTTTCCTTACTTTCAAGCTCATTATGATACATTAACATGACCGAGAACAAAGGAAAATAAAATTTGAACCAAGGATAAAATTGAACTACAACATATACGTAATAATAAGTCTTTCGTTGTTAAGTTAAGCCAAGAATCGCAAATTACTTTTTAACCAGAGACGAAGATTTCACCAATCTAGAATGCAAGGGAATTAAAAGCTCAAAAACTCACTTTGGGCGTAATCCTCTGCCTCGTCCCTGGTAACTTCTCTATTTCTGCCGCCGAAACTTACCAAGTCACACTTTGTTCCGCACAGATAAAGCCCACAACTCTACAACAACAATATCACAGTTGGTCATACATGGGTTCTTAGTCTCCATGTTCCTCCGTCCGACCATCCACCAGTCCAGAATAACGCGTCAAGGAAGTGCAACGTTGCCAAGAATGACTTTATTTTACAATTCATTCAAATTTGTTAACGAAGAACACTACAAGACCGTAGAACAAAGAACTTAACAAATAGATCCTTGCATTTCCTTGCTGTATTGAATGTCCTTTGTGTTCAAACTTCCTTGTTTTTCATTTTTAGCCGTTATTTTCGGTTTCGCGAGGGGAATTGGAGGATAAGGTGGTACTCACATACCTCGTTATTTTGGCGAACTTCTGTTGCGTAAAACTTGGCTTTTTCAAAGCTAGAGTAGTCGCATACATCTAGAACATGTGCAAACGATAATAAACACACGGATGCTGATTAGCTGGGCCTTAAGAACTGGACAAGTGTAGAGAGTCAGTGAGAAATCTATGTAATATTTACCATCGTAATAACCTTAAGTAAACAAAAGTGCGTTTACCGTAGCAAATGATGGCAGCTTCAGCTCCACGATAGTATAACGTAGTCATTGATTCGAACCGCTCTGAGCCTGCGGTGTCCTAAATAAAGACGGAAGAGTGAATGGAAAATGCTATGTAGTTTTAGTATCCTATCTTGTCAGTAACATATATATAGCTATATTAGTGTATTTATAATGTTATTAATTGGTTGATTAATTAATTAATTAATTAGTTAACCTTATATTTTACTTATTATCTCTGAACTTTTATTGTAACTTTTTAGTATTATATTTCATTTATTTTCTACTCGATTCATTAGCTATCTAAGCTAGGTGCCTGACAAGCTCCATAAATTTCGAGTATATATAAATGAATCTACAAATCTACAATGTTGTCTATTGATTCTTACGTAATTGAGAGGGCATTGAAGGCTATTAGAAAATGAAAAAGTGGCTTGAAGAACTCTCAGATAAACCGAAATATCACACAAACCAAAGCTATTAAATGAGAGTTTACGTGAGTATGTAGGAGCCCCTGATACATGTATGTCACCCAAACCTATGAGACGACGACGAGGGCAACTGAAAACTCTCAAATATCCATACAGATCAACTCCCTGTCGCCAGATAGGACGGTTCCAACGGTTTGCGTTGGAAGTCTAGGCAAACCCATGCTTTGTTTGCTTGGCATTAATCTCTGAGGTTTTTAACATTATATTTATTTAACACCTAACTTTTCCATGCGTTTCCTAACCGACTGGTGGAATAAAAGTCATAAAAGCGACTTATCCAGTAAGGCCTGTTAGGTAGAAAGTGGAAACAAGAGTTCCACGGCCACATTAATTGCTTTTGGTGACACTGTTGCCAAAGTAATCACGGAGATGACTTTTTGTACCTCAGCGAGATTAATTTAACCAACGTAAACCAAAATAAGAAGTTTCTTGTGGGTCCAAAGCAAGGTCAGTAGACAAACAAAGCTCATCCACTAATTGAAGTTAGAAGAGACAGTCAAATTTGGAAACTCATCACGATAGCTTCACGTACACAAACAAGTTTGGACTTTGAATTCAAATGGTAAATAAATGTTACATAATGATATTAAGCGAATGACTAAATCATACTTAACTAAGCGTGCCGTAGTCATCAAAAGTTTTTACGGCTAAAATTTATTGCATTTCTGTATGGATGTTTTTTGGGTCTGATCAAATTTCGTCAGAAAGTTTACTGCCAGACAATCTGCATAGGAGTATAGAAATTTTCATAGCTGGAAAACGGTGACTCATGTTGAGATAAAGATTGGCTCACCCATATTCCAAGAGTGACGTATTTTTTACCCACGGTCACTTTCTTCGCCACAAACGCCGCCCCTATTGTCTGCAAAGGGTAAAAGTATAAACATGAGTTCGCCGGAAATGGAACTTTCGCCAAACGAAATTTGACCCTAACGCGCAAGTTTTTCATTCAGCTCTGTTTTCAAATCCAGGCAAGAAATGCAATTTCGTTTGATTTTACATAACTTCTGCACATTTTTCTGTTTGAGATTTAGTACGATCTTGCTTAATCTCCGGTTTTGCAAACGTTTTCAATAATGTGAACAGTTTCAGAGAGTCTTTTCTCCCCCAAAATGAGATTATGGTATTTCTCTGAGCTCTTTGGCAAGTGCGGTTTGGACACTTCTCAGGTACAGTTTTTCGTTTCATTTCTGGTCACAGTTAGGGAGGAAAGTCCATGTGAGCGGCAAACTGACTCTTTTGAATATCTAGGACTGCGTGGTGACTAGATATATATTTAAAAAATTTCTAAAAGAATCGAAAACAGGGTCAACAACAAATAAGTAGATAAATAAATGAACAAATAAATGCATAGATAAGAAAAAGGAACTGAACCAGAAATTTTTTTCGAATAATTTTCGACCATTATTTGAAACTTTAATTAAAGAAAACAGTGTAGAAGAGACAATAGATCGTTGACAACAGTATGTTCAGAGAGACTATTTGTCCTCGAGCGGCCTGGCTCGTTGAAACGACGTCATCGGCTTCCAGTAAGTCAAGATTCGACAAGACCTAAATTAAAGAGAGTCCGTCTTGGCTCTGATGATCTGTGATATCATCTGCACTTTCTCTCTCTCCCTCTCTCTCTCTCTCCCCTCCTCTCTCCCCCTCATCCAACAGTTTGTTTTCATAACTGCTTTCACTTTCCTACAGAATAAATAATTTATTTATCAAAACGGTAATTTGTAATCAGTGCCGATCGACTCCATTCTTGACCTCCCCGTTGCTTATATTTTCTGGCAAGCCATTCTGTTAAGTCATATTTCGATCTTACTTGAAAATTCTCTTCCTCTTTCCGACTTTTCTACTAAGATCAAAGGGATCTCTGCTCGCAGGGTAGCGAGAGAGCTTTCACACGACGGTGAAGGAATTTCGACAGAATTTAAGTGTGGATACTGGGTTTTTGCACTTTCACATAAATTCACCATTGGGGAAAACGATATCAAGTACGTATAGAATGTGAGTGATCACAACAAGTGTATCACAGATAGCGAATTCGAAATATGCATTTGAGAATCTAAAGACCTTTAGAAACTGGATGAATCAGGAGTCACATCAAATTGTAGCTGAATTCAAATGATGTATTCACTTCCTAAGCTGAAAGAGAAATAAGCTTCAAAACTCTCGATCCATCACATTATACTGAAACACACCCGTTGTCAAGCTGGAAACTATACTCACGGGTTCGTACGATGAAAGCTCGTTAAATCTGTTCGTTGTAAAACTTTCTATCAGGGCGGTTTTCCCAACGCAGTATTTTCCTACTATGATAACTTTCTTCTCTTCCCTAGAACCCATCTACAGCGACGCGCATGAGATGACAGCCAAAGTGATCAGCTTATCAAACTTGGATGTAAATAAACGTTGGCCGACACTTTGGTCACGAATGAAGTAGTCACGCAATCTTTCAAGATGCTCTTAGGGTGGAAAAGTTGCGGAGCTACTGGGGAGAAAGAATTTATCAAAGACATGACGGAAAGAAAGCAGCTGAGATGTTCACAAGTCAAGCTCGTATTGACAGCAAAACTGGCCCGGATAATCTTGGACGGTTTGAATATTTACAGGCTTTGGTAACGGAATTTCAAGATACTGACAAGCAAGGTAGTGCGTTTTCTTCTCACTTGGAATTACAGCAATATGCAGACCAAAAATCAAGAAAGAAACTAAACAAACAAATGACACCCACAGACAATTTACTAGTCTCTTTAAAGCCAAAATACCTTTTCTACCCTCACGTCGCCAATCTCATCGACGTAGACTTACAAAATTAAGGAAAGAAACCTGATTAATGCGGGAAAAAATGGAATCTACCAATTAAATCCACAACTTCATGGCCGTCTGAAAACCACGGCACATTTTAACAAAGGCCCCAACTCTATTTTCTTCCACCTCCACAACAAAAAGTCCACACTGAGCTGCACATTACTTTCAGGAGTGAACACTGCACTCTGCTAGCTTCATGATCCGTTTGCACAACTGAAGTGACATTAAATAACTTTTCTCCAGGTTCTAAGGAAGAAATATTGGCCAACTTGGCCAATTTTGGATATGATCCAATCAACTATGGTCACTTTAGAAAGCTTAATGTGTTAGATCTTTTTATGGGTAAGGACAAAGGCATAATTTCTTCTTTATAGCGAATTCATTTTCCTATGAGTTGAACAATTCTACTCTAGATATAGAGGATTTACTTTCAATGCTAGTCAGACAAAAAGAGAAACTCAATGTGCTTTATAGTACAGCAAACGTTTGCTGGTTTTTTTTTTTTTTTTGCAGTCGAGGGGACATAGCGATCTTATTGTCAAGGTTATTTATGCATGGAACTGATTTTAGCACATTGCAGAGTTTTGTGAATAGTTGGTCTTTACAATCATATATTCATACTTTATAGAATAGAACAGAATAAAATAGAATCTTTATTTATATACGATAAGGATTATTAAGCTAAAAAGCTCGTGGGGTCGAGTACATAACAAAATAGTATCTAGCCAACTAATGATTATACTAAGACACATTTATGTAACTATGTCACCTGGTGCTCTAAATAAATACAAAGAAGCAGCTGTTGATTAAAACTAAATGCTATAATTAACTCAAAATTTCTCCTTGTGATGGCAAAGAGTAACCTTGAGAGTTATTTGTACATGGACATTTAGTTGTCATCACTGGCAAAACAAGAAGATTGTGAATCATGGAATTGAAAATTTGAGTAAAGCGCTATTGTAGGAGATAAAATGATATAACATGAATATGAGATACTATCATTAAGGAAGTTTGTCTTCTGTTTGCAGATATGCTTACAGAAGAAAATGCAAAGTTTGTTGAGTTTGGGATTGGAGGATTATGCAACTGCAGTTTGGGTAAGTAAATGGTGAAAGAAAGGTTAAGCAGTCATGCTTAACTTTCATTGGCTAATGATGTAAATGTTATGTCTCTCAGATAAGGAAAACAAACAACATATCGTTGAGAATGGTGGAATTCCTTTAGTCATTAATTGTCTTTCCAGGTAACAACACATTTCATAATTATGTCAGTATTAAGTCAATAGTTCTGTTGGTTCCCATTGCAAAAGGGTGTACCCAGTGAAGTACAAAGTAGCCTGATTCTCAGAAAGTCTAGGTCACTCTCTCAGAGAGAGTGTGTGGCCATCAGTAACCTGGAATGGTAATTTTAAACTCCAAGTTAATTTAAAATCATTCCGTGCCTAGCACCCCCACCTCCCTGTTGGAAGAAAAAAAACCTACACCCCTGTTCTCTTGAACTTAGACTTAGATGCATTGCCGTTTTTTTACCCTGAAAATCTTGATTTTTTTTTTTCAATGAGAGTGCTGGTCTCATGGAGAGCTGTAATGAGAAAGAACTGTAGGTTAGGAGGCACGTGCATTGAAATTGAAATGCAAAAATGATGTGGGTTTTTGACACATAATAATAATAATAATACAACATTTGTAGTGCGCAAATTCCATGTGGATATGCTCAAATGCGCATTACAATGAGAGTTGAGAACTAACCCTAAATCAAATAACATATGAAGGTAAAATTCAGAAAATCATATCACTATTTAAATAGTTAAAAACTAAAGAGCTATTATAATAAATAGGTTAAGATCACAATACACAAAAAAGTTAACATTAGCAGACTATGAAAACACATCCTGAAATAAATGTTTAAGTTTAGACTTGAAGCCAGCAACAGTGCTTTCAGACCTAATCTCCAGAGGAAACATGTTCCAAAGTTTCGGCGCCGCATATGTGTAGGAGTGATCACCAAGAGTAACCTTAGACAACTTTTTAGGGCAACTAAGGAGGAAGTTATCACGAGAGCTCCTAAGATTATACTGTGAAGGTGACTGCATCTTATTCTTTTAGTTCCAACGAGGAGACTGTTTTGTCAGCTATAACCACTCTAATGTTCCTCACCACACCACAGACACAAGAAGGTCAGATTCTGTTTTAAAAAACTTGATGTCAATTGTTTGTCACCACTATGGCAAGAGATAGAGGACATTACATGGCCGTGCAGAGATAAGAAATTTCTCTCAGAGCGTTTACAACCAAGTGAAACATTTTTTTGAATACTGGAAAAGAAATTTTATATCCCCAAGGGGCCACATAATATTCTATCTATTATATAAACACCAATGAAAAACAAAACCATTTCACTTGTGCAGTGAAAGACACAATTTATCATGTAACCATAGTAACAGTGTTTTTTCTCATGTGAAGATATCACATCTTTGTGCAAAAGCTGACCCGGTATTTCTCATTGGTTTTTTTTATAATGATAGGCCCTCTTATTGTTTATGTTAGCCTAAGGTAAGGGTTTTGCAGACAATAACATGTGGAACAATTTATTCAACCAGACCTAGGTAGACTATTTGTCTTTAAGTGAGGAGGTATTTATTAAATATAAGGGCCCTGACTAGTATAAAGTTGTTTTTACTTCAAGGATGGTACTTACTCAAAATAGGGGATTTTTTTTTTGCAGCCAGGCAAAAATTCAAGCAATTCTTAATAAATTGAATTCTTGAATAAATTGTGATTGTGGTCATTGTATTGGTATGGTTCACAGAAATCACATCAGAACCTGTTGTGGACTGCATGGAAAGATTTTCAACCTCCTCAAATGCTCGGCTAAGTAACTTGGCTAAAGTATTCCTACAGGTATGAGATGCCTAGTTTCTGAATTTCAACTATATCAGAGACAAGTTTGTTGTCTTCGTGTCAGTGTTGCCTTTTTAATCTTTTGACTTCTTAAAATACATACTAGATTTTTGATGTCATGATGTAGTGTTGGACTGATTAAACAGGTTTTTGGCACTGCTGGGGTGGATTGAATGTGAAAACTGAATTATTGCAGCTAGTTAGTGCACATTAAAGGCTTTTTTGGTCCTATCTGTACAATATTTTCAAAGGACATCCAAACTGTTTCTTAAATGAATATGCCAAAGAAGACATCCAAAACTTGTGTGTTTTCATCCTTGCACATGTTTCAGAAATTTTGTGTTTGAGGGTGTTAGGAGAATTTAACAATAATCTTTTCTGCTCAAGTTTTCTATTAAATGCTCTAACAATCCCTCTCTTCTGTGAATAGCAAAATCCTATTCAGCTAAGCTAAGTAGTTTTTAGACTATTTTAGCCGTGCTGTCAATTAAAATATTAATCTCTTTTAAAACAATATTGTTATGCGCCTGTTACTAATAACAATGTTTTTCAGGATTATTGCAAAAGGTCAAAACAAAATGTTACACATACAAATTGAAGCAGAGATAAAGAGCATCTGGTCAAAGCCACTGCTTGAACACCAAGATGTTACAAGCCTGTCCATGCCTACAGCACAATTCTAATCAAGGGAAGAGTCATGACCTCATACACACACAGTTGCTAATATACAGTGACAACTGTGTGGTAGTACTCCACTATACGGTAGTTCCTTACAGATATTATTTGAGTCAAGGCAAGACTGTAAGCAGTTCCCACCTAAGAGTACTGAAATCATTTAAAAGTGGATTGTCTTGGTAAGAGTACTCCTGAGTTCATGAAAGAGACTGATGTTTCAACAACCAGTGTAAAAGTGTTCCAACTACAGTTCCAGGAATTTGTAACTGACACAATTTTATTAGCACATTTATTTATTTACAGGTGATTGGAGTATACAAACTTTTTTCCAGTATGGTGCTATTTTGATATTATTTCAAATCTCTTAACTCATTTGCAGGGAAATCAGCAGCACATAGTTGTGAGAATTGCTACTCAGATCTTGAGAGACCAAGTGTGTAAGACAATGACTTGAGACACATTTTTTTCCCTGGTTGTATCCTAGAGGCACATCACTTACAGCTAAGCTATAAAATTTTGTGTAAATGTTACCAAAATCTTGCACTTGTTTGCATCTTTGCTGGCCATCTGAGTTTTACTTGATCACAGACAAGTCATCATTGTTTGTAAAATAAATAAAATTTTACAGGTTATTGCATTGATATTTCTTTGTCAACTCGACCACCATGTCTTCAGTCCCAGCCCAGGCTCAGTTATGGATCCCTATGGAAAAAGAAAAGTTCCATGTAAACAAATCTTATTAACCCATTAATGGCCGCAGCTTTTGTGGAAAACTGTGTTTTGAAGCTAGTCCAGCAGATTTCAGGTCACTGTTGGGGTTTTAAAAGCTCCAACTTACCAAAAACCACTTGACAGCTTGTGCACTCGACGGCCTTTCGATCCAAATGCAAAATGGCGGCCTGAAAATCTCGGGCACGCGCAGAGAGCAAAATTTCGACATAGTTTTTGGGTTGAAAAGTCATGCCCCACTTACGACTTCTACTTTTCTCTCTTTCTCCTGCCCTTTTTTTCCCTCTCCTTGCCTAAAGTTTCTCCTCACTTGCTGGAAATTGAGTAGGCTTCAGTTTGGTGTAGAGATTTTTCAGAAACTACTCATTATTTTCAAAGCACATGCTCGGAAAGGTAGGTGGGTAGTGAAACACGATCTTCGTGCAGATTTTCCGGTCAAAGTGACACGCTTTTTTCGCTATTTCACCAATCTCCTCCACTCAATTGCGCTCATTCTGGTATCGTCTGCAAGATATTTTCAACCCGTTCAAGTAGATGCTCGAATTCGTGCTCCAGGGTTAAAACTGATGAAGTCACAGGGCGTAGAAAGGGTGTGGGTCCCCATGGGCGTATACGGGCGCACTGGACGTTAATGGGTTAACCAAGCGCGAGGGCCGTACTGGGAGAATATCGGCCTGAGGTCTTGACAGTATGGACCGAGCACAGCGAGGTCCATACAAAAAAGACTGAGGGCCGATATTCTTCCAGTATGGTCCCTAGCAAGCTTGGTTATTAAGAGACTTATTATACGACTGAAGTTCAAAGGGACACAAGTGTCCTATCATTTGGGACCATTTGGGACAGTGCCCTGTCCAATACTTGGAGAATATTGGACTGGCAATAGAGCATTTTGATTGGTTGATTTTAGTTATTGGCCCTCTGACTGCCCAAGTCGTGTAATAAAGATTATTACACCTCAATGTACATGTAAGAATAAATTGTAGAATTTTTAACCTAACCTGGTGTACAATTTGGTTTTACAAATAACAAGTCCCTTGCTTTTATCATTAGCCATTGATAAACAAAGGTTACTGTTAAGGGCCTGAAAGGAAGGGTGACCTTCTTAGCCGCTGAAATAGCTTCATAATTAGAAAATGCATGGTTCTTACATGCGTGACTTCTGTCATGGAGATACGTTTCTGAATCACTCATGCCTGGTTATATTGAGTGCCGGCAAGGCAGCCTAAATCTCCAGGGGATAATGTGACTTACTGTGATTGTGTATGGAGATCTCTTGTTTTCTGTCTCATCTTTTTTTTCTCCTGACATCTCAGGCCCTGCAGGACTCAAATCAGTGAACATTTCATCAACCACCCTAAATCTGATCTCTTCATTGATGTCCATAAAGAGGTCATGTCCCCCATCCTCTGTTGTATATTCCCACACCCACAGCTGTTCATCCTCGTCACTGTAATGGTTGCCTGTCAAGGAACTACGTGCTAAACACTTCTTAACCCTTTACACTTTAACATCAGTATGCATATTCTCCATACTGTTCTCTGTACATCTCCCAGGGTGCTAACAAGGAGAATTTGATTAACAATCAAGAGCTACTTTCATTATTTTTTCGGAGCTTGAAGTTTGGTTCTGAAGTGATAATGTAAGCAGAAAATGGATGCTGGTCGCTCTTAGGGTGTTTTAACAATTATTCCATGAGTGTGTGTTGGATATGAGATGATAGTGCAAGTGGAATAATTGCTTTATTATGAAAAAAAGCCCCCGAGATATTAGACAAATCTTCTCAACTCTATTTTGTAAAAAGAAACTAGATATTACAATGTACAGATATTAGATTATGGTATATTGGCTCATGTACCATAATGGCTAAGCCAATAAAAAGTCTTGAATTGCATTATCCAATGATCCAGTTTTTTAATCAAAATGTTTACAGAATGAAAGAAGCTTTCATGGAAAACTTCACAATATTGTAAAACATAGGAGTGAAAAACCCCACTACATCTCTATTGTGTCACCTACACCTCGCTCTTTCACAGGCAACAACTTATTAAGCAATCCTGTTGATGTAAAGTATTTTGAATCTGATTGTGAGGCAAAAAAATCTTATTCTGTGGATTGGCAACTTTTTGTATTTTATGGATCACTGGAATGAAACAAGCACAAATTTACGTCCCCTAACTTTTTATGCTCTACCCAATATGTCACAGAATACTGCCAAAAAACAGGATTTGAGATTCTGTAAAATTCCAGGGAGTAATGAATATGTAACTTCTATTTACCATATCCAGTAATACCATTATGCAGTAATAAATGAAGATGTCACAAGGCAGTTACTAATTCAAACCTAAATTCTCCAAACTAAATTAACGGACAATTTAAGGCAGCCAGAAGGGAGAGTTATGAATCAAATCTTGGGAGTTTTAAGGGTTGATGTTATCCTGGCTGTGAATTCTGGCTTGTTGTTTTAGTACTAAGGTTAAAATTGTTTGCCAAGTAGCTCTTTTTCTAGGGCTTTTTTAAAAAATGAAGAAAGGGGAATCCATATCTCTCACAAGGCAAAATACTTTGTAATAGTTTAAATATTTATAATGAAAGGATACAACTTTGAGGGCTGCTGAAGGTACTCATATGGGATGGTAATATCATCAAAGAACTCCAATGACACTGTCAATATTATTTAACATGACTGTTACAAACTTTTCAAAACTGTGTATGAAAACCAGAATAAATTGGGGAACATCAGAATACAAGCCAAGAGGCTCATCCTGTGGAAGCTTATCCGACCTTGTTCTCCATGGAATAAAAAGACTAGGAGTATTACTGCCTCTCCCTGGTTGTGGAGGGAGTCGGTTGCAGGTTTCCCCCCTATAGGGGGGAGGTATATAGGGAAGCTCCACTCTATTATGTAGGGATTGAGGCACCACTCTCTCCCAAAAACACATTTAAGTGACAGAATCATCGGTGGAAACCTGAGCTCTCATTAGGACGTCTAGTTGAGTAATAATTAATTATTATGCTAGAGAGTCTGTTTAAGTGATCATGCTTAAAAAATTTGAAAATCTTTTCCCACAGAGTTACAGTTATGGACATATCTGACAAACTGTTTACAATAATAAAAACATTATCACCTTGAACTCCTTCATGGTTACAACTTCGGATCCTTCCGGTGAGTACTTCATCAATGAATGGACGAAACACAACAAACCGAAATCTTACTGAGAAGAAAAACCAATGTCATGCAGAATGTTCATTTTAAAATTTAGTATCACCATAAACAAAAACTAATACCAACAAAATATACTGTGTGATGAGGTACAACAAATAACCTAGTCTCCCAAAGAGCTTGGGGTGTCTGCGACTATAGTGGCTTGCGTTATGTTATTTGACTTACTCCCTTCCACTCCCTCCGGAGCATAGCTTCATGGAACCTCCCCATCATCTTGGCTTGTGTTTATTTAACAACTATTCCATGAGCGTGTGTTGGATACGAGGTGATAGATAGCCAACGAGGCACGTAGCGCTGAGTTGGCTATAATCATCTCATATCCAACAAGCAAGAGTAGAATAATTGTTTTATTAAAAACACTAAATAAAATCATTAAATTTTATTAAATTTTTTAGCTCCCTTTTAATACTCATGGTCTTAAAGTAAGTGAGGAGAATTTGCTATAATATCAAGAAATGGATAGTTATTCTAGTCTTCTCAGATAAGGATGAATGAACGATAGGCCCCGTCTCCTGCTGGGTTACGGGTAGGAGACATTAATTTCCCACACACGAGATTTCTGTGTGGTGGATGTCTTTCCCTGGGGTGAGGTGGGTGGGTGTTGCTCCGCATATTAGCATGTATTGCTAGGGGCCTAATCAGTCTCAACAACCCAAGTTAAAATAAAGTTACCTACCTACCTACCTACCTACCTACGCTAATGCGCATGCTTACCATATTTGTAAATTATGGTATTTTGCTCATATACCATAATGGCTAGGCCCATAAAAAGTCTTGAACTGCATTATCCAATGATCTAGTTTTTAATAATTTGGGTTATCTATTTAAATTTTTTATTTCAGCTTGTGTAAATAAGGTGCGAATTACAATTACGGTATTGTCTCTGTCGCTTACTATTAGTTATGATATGTAGCGGTCGAATGTCACAGAAACTTTCTCTGATTTTTTAAACGAACTAGAGTAGTATGGGTTTAAAAACTCACCTGGAGTATGTGACGATCCATCGCCAGGAAAGAGATAAGAGTCACCAATATGCGTGATGTCATGTAGAACGATACACAGACCAACGTTGTGAACGACCTACGACCAGTGACTGGCAATCAGATATCCCATCGATTTCAACATTCATGTTCGTTTCGACTTACTAAATCCACTCACCTTGTTTGCAAGCTTTTTATTCAACTTGGTAGCGATAGCCTCTCGAAGATCGACTCCAAAATGCCAAGGTTTTACCCTCACAGTATCTTTCATTTCAGCAAGGACGAACATTTCGCTGAATCGAACAGGCGACTTTACACGAGTCGTTCTGCCGGAGTAAAACTGGGATCTAAGGGAAATATATTAACTTTAGGCTGGAATGGACTACCGGACAATGCGAAAACAAGTCCAGGTTTGGTACATAAAACTGTGATCCTAACCGTGGATAAATTTCATTTGCGCATTTATGTATGAAAGCGTCTTCCAAAGTTTCAGGGAAAGGCGTTCTAAAAGATGCCAAACTCCGGAAGTTTGAAGTCTGTACTTGGAAGTTTGATTTTGAATCATACCTTATACCCAAATCCGAAATGGAATCACGTATAGTTACCCTGAAGAGAGTAAAATATGGACAAAGATACCAGCATATCTTTTAAAGGAACATCCAGCATCTGTTGATTATGATGAAAATATACTTTATGTCTTCTCTTTTTTGAGACCAAAAAAAAATTCAGATTATCTTTTTTCTAAGTGCGTTGTCAACGATTTTGGTCAATAGAAAAACCCAAGAAGTTTTCCACCAGTGTGCTTTCTTCTGGCTTCTTCGTGGTCCATGATGCCACTTGACGTGGTGATCACAAGGTACCCAAACTGTCTTGATGGTAGAAGATTGCTTGCCCACTGTTCAATGTCATGAACCTTCAAATCATAACGAGGACTTATGACACCACACTTGTTCAATCGTCCTGTAAGGTTAACGACAATCTTGCCTGATCTGTGATCATCCACAATTTCAAATTCACCAATATAACCGTGTTTAATCTTTACGGTTAAAAACTTGACTATGACCTTCGAGGAGGGCCGCAGAAGAACTCGACGCTTTCCTCGTCTTTCAGCATTACATATGGAATTTAGAGCGTCGCTTAAAACATTAATTCGCACCATGTTGAATCCTGGTGGAAAATCACGATCGCGAGAGAGAAATTGTCAAATTGTTCACGAAATCGGCTTACAAGATTTAACTTGTATCCGGAAGGGGTATTTATCCAGAAGTATTGGTATGCTTTAAGGGGATAATGTACCGTAATCTCGAACGAGTCATGGTTAAGCTAGAACATTTTCTAATACCTCGCCATGTTAATGAGGTTGAGATATATACCTATCTTATGATCATTATTTTGAGAACGAGGGAGTTAAGGATCAAGAAATAGTCCTCTTTTGCAGGGTTCGCAGTAGTTCTTTGGGATGTGACGCAACTCTCCTCTGATTTTCACTGTTGTATTTATGATCGAAAATGTATTTTAGACAAGATAAAGAACTAATGCAAGAGACCTCAGGAGTGAAACAACTTGCGTACACTTTCCTGAAAAGCAAAGTAAATGTTGAGGAATAGGAGACGCAAAACACACCGGCCTCGCGTCTCAGTTTTTTATCGAAGCCGCTCGGTAGACGCAGAGTAATAATTCTCCTCCACTGTTTTTTTTTTTTTAGATCGTACCATAAACATGCTGTAGAAAACTGGGATTGAGTTTGTTGAACTGTCCACGCAGTCGTCCTAATTTGGGTGTTGTAATAAATCGCTCGGCCTCTAAGCTAGGAATTGTCTGGGCGGTCTTTAATTAAGGAGAATCGTTCAGCATCAAGTCTTCATGATCTGCCTGTTGATTGTATACCAAAGCTCTACATAACTTAAATCGGTGTTACCCTGTGTTTTATTTTTACAAACGATTTACAAACTAATGTAACTAAAAGTTCTAGACAGATGCTTAATTTCTTTATGCTGTCATGGCTTCTGCCTTATATTATCTAGTCAAATAAATTTAAGCTTTATTTCATTCGATTATCGCGTTTTAACGACAGTTTCCATCCTTCTACATAAAAAATCTAACATTTTTCAGTCTGGAAGATTAAATGCAGTTCGTGCAACGTTTCTCCTAAAAACTTTAGTAACTACTTTATCTTCACACTGTAAAGATAACTTTCAGGCTTAAAAAGAATATTAACTATACTGTTTCTACAACGCTCCTATACTCTGAGTATATCTCCACCGAGTTCAGTCATAAAATCACTGCCTCAGTCCCATATGGTTCAGCTCACGTGACAGCTGACACAGCACACATATTCCACAACATTGAACCAAGCAATAATCATTGCACAGGGAGCCCTGAAAATAAAAGAAATTCAAGTTCAACTCAAATCATTGTAGGTTATTAATTTTTGGCGCAAGAATGTTCTTCAGCAATTGTTGCTCGACGCATTTCTTTTTGAACACCCTTTAGGCGAGGGTAAAAGATATGGATGATCGCATGTTACCTTTGGTATGAAAATATTTGGAAATTTTTTAACATCCAGAATCTGCGCTAACCTAGGACTGACATAGAGGAGTTTACCTGAATGTTCTGCTGTGTCCTGAGTTTGATCCTCAGCCCCAACAAAGCTCCAGGACAACAAGTCGCAAAGCAGCAACCTTCACCCATTCTCTGGGACACATCACAGAGTAGAATACAGGGGCAAAACCACCCCATACAAACTACAAGAAAACAGATCGGGAACAAACTGTTTATTGTATGAGTAGTACAAGATTTTTTTCGATATTTCAAAAGTTAAGGATGGAAATTTCATTAAGTGGCAAACGCACTTATATGTCATCAGATAGACTTGAGATCCTACGTTTGCGCAGTGGGCACTACTATGGACTAGCTCATATTCGTCTCAGGAAACGAAACCCACGATTTAAAGACTACTGGACCAAAGTTTTGAAAATGAACATCCCTCTTGGATACTAGAAGAAGTAGGATACTGCACTACTAGTACTATAAACAATTCAAGTTAGACTCTCAAAGAGCATAAGGAGGGACTCTGGGAACAAGGGTAAAATAGTCGCCGATAGTAGGGGAGTGAGAGAAGTTATGCTGGCTGCATTTTTCATTTCATTTCAGGTACACTACTCAACAGACACTAATATAGTGAACCATTAGGTTTATTTTGCATGTTTCGGCCGAGCACCAGCGTACAATAATGAAGAAAGACATATAGAAAACCGTTGCATTCTCGGTAATCGTTACCAAAGCACACGACAAAAAGACATACCGAGAGCTTAGCAACCACTAGCAAACATCGTGGTTAGAACGGCGGCCAGAAAAAACCTACCATAAAAAGCCCCGTAGGGAAAAAGAGACAGGAAATCTGGGTAGGAACCAGGCCCAAGCTCAAGTAACCTTCCTACTAGGCTATATGCATACTTACAAAAAAAATTGATAAATAAACTTAGCAATAGCTGAGAAGGTGTCGGCCTAGAATGATTGCCCACGTGCAATCACAAGGTTTAATACTCGTATCACTATACCCATAATGCATCTATACTCAAGGGCCCAGGCCCTTGTCCTGTTGCTCTCGTGCCGTAGAAATATTTAATTTCCGGCTTATTTGTTGGCACTCAAACGCCAGAAATTCCATTTTTATTTCGCGAATTCTTTAGTTTTCGAGACGCCTTAAAAATTATTTTACTCACGAGAGTAGCAGTCCTCACAGCATCCCAACAAACCGGAGCTCCAGTCTCGCATTCCCTGCTGATACAAGATGGGTGCGGGCTGATTTACAACAACAGTGGTATTGGAGGACTGGAAATTGGTTGGCTGAACCATCACTGGGGGGTATTGCTGTTGCTGACAGTTTAAAGATAAATGAAGAAAATGTCATATCTTTTAGTCACCGGTGTCGAGCAACCAGAGATTATAAAGCCTAGGACACAAATTTTTTTGTGTGTGTATTTGTTTAGCTTATCATAGGTACAAACCAATTCCGATATTTCCAAAAGGACAAAAATTAAAAAAAAAAAAAAAAGAATTAAAACTTGTTTTTTTTCGGACTCTTACAAATGCTCTTATTTTGCCTTAGGAGTGTCCCTTTGACTAGTAACGAGTTAGCGGGTGGTGACGTAGAAAACTGTGAAAACCCTCAATTGACACAAGAAATAGAAGTTCCGACTACGGTTCGGCCCCACGAATAAGAATCCCGTGCATCAAACGAAGATTTTGACAAAGACTGACAAAGACATTTTCTCACCAGCTGTCAACCAGAAACCGCAAATTAAAAATGCGTGTCAGAGACAACGAATACAATAAGAGGTAAATGAAACATGACTGTCGACTCACATGTTTGTGGACTACAAGATTAAAGGCTTTTCCTGCGCAATTATGTTAATTTCGTATATGAGAACGATCCTTCGCAGTAAAGCACTATTTGAGCAATAGTGAAAATCAGACCTGAAAAAAATTTCAGGCCTGTACGGGACTCGAACCACTGACCTCTGCGATACTAGTGCAGCGCTCTACCAATTGAGCTAACAAGCCAACTGGGAGCAGGCCATCAAATTAATTCGGTATAAACCCGTAGATGATAAATCAAACAACAACAAACATATGAAACATATGTGTGAACTGCGGTTATGAGACGTATATGAGAACGATCCTTCGCAGTAAAGCACTATTTGAGCAATAGTGAAAATCAGACCTGAAAAAAATTTCAGGCCTGTACGGGACTCGAACCACTGACCTCTGCGATACTAGTGCAGCGCTCTACCAATTGAGCTAACAAGCCAACTGGGAGCAGGCCATCAAATTAATTCGGTATAAACCCGTAGATGATAAATCAAACAACAACAAACATATGAAACATATGTGTGAACTGCGGTTATGAGACGTATATGAGAACGATCCTTCGCAGTAAAGCACTATTTGAGCAATAGTGAAAATCAGACCTGAAAAAAATTTCAGGCCTGTACGGGCTGCGAAGGATCGTTCTCATATACGTCTCATAACCGCAGTTCACACATATATTTCATATGTTTGTTGTTGTATGTTAATTTCCTAGCAACAAGTTTCGACTCAAAACAAAATGTCATGAGTCCCGATAAAAATAAAAATAAAAAAGTTTAGGCGTTGTTAATATACGCGAAATTTGGCTGCCTCACAAAGATCTTCAGCGATTAAACACGTCTTACGTCTAGTGAGGTCATACCAAGATTCTCAAGAGGTATTGAGTTTCGTGCCTGTCTGAGCGGAACTTCTCTGAATTCGAATGGTATGAATACGAAGTGTGAACGTTTTGGGGAATACATTTGTCATTAAATATAGTTACTGCGTGCAAAGATTGGCGAAAATCGGTTCCCATCGTATGATTGCAAATATAGGAAACGCACTCTAGGAGCTGAGATATGCAAAGAGCTTAGGTGCAAGGAACATGTTGTGAATTTTCCGCCGAAGAGGCAATCCGTAAGAAACGACTCGGACTAAATGTGTGCTCACAACCGAAGTGATTTATTCGATAGTTGATTTGTTCCCCCTGCTGGGAATAATCAAGATCTTCATGTTACTTAGGTTCCGAAATCTAGTTGATTTACTTGTGCAGGGAGTCGGAAAACATCCCAGCGCGCTTTGTGAACTGAACCGCGAGCGTACGAATGATCATGGTAGAATTGATATTTGAGGCGACAGCGAAAGATCCCTGAGCAAAGAGACGTTGTTGATTGACTGGTGATCCAGAATATGAACAAAGTCTTGACTGCGCTGAGTCAAATTCTATGTGAAGCTATTTCTCTGCATAATTTCTTCAGTTCGTAGTTTATGAGCTAAATTAAACTAGACAAGATCCGTACCTCTTTGCAGTGCAAGTATCATCTGAGTATAAATAGACGATGGATTGTTCTAGAATCCTTACTGTATTTTGCGAAACGAAACGAAACGAAACGAGTAAACCCGTACCAGCTCTTCCAAGACTCTAGCGATATATAACTTATTTCTTCCGATTGGTAAACACAATTCGTAGATACAACTCGATGCAGTGATGATTTATAAATAAAGACTTTGAGCCAAAAGGTCAGAAGTGCGCCGTTTCGCAAATTACAGATATGTAAATCTGTAATTTGCGAAACGAGCTCTTTGAAGACTCTAATGATATGTAACTTATTTCTTCCGATTCTATAACACTTTTCGTAGATACAACTCGATGCAGTGATGATTTTTTAATAAAGAGTTTGAGCAAAAAGGCCAGAAGTGCGCCGTTTCGCAAATTACAGATATGTAAATCTGTAATTTGCGAAACGAGCTCTTTGAAGACTCTAATGATATGTAACTTATTTCTTCCGATTCTATAACACTTTTCGTAGATACAACTCGATGCAGTGATGATTTTTTAATAAAGAGTTTGAGCAAAAAGGCCAGAAGTGCGCCGTTTCGCAAATTACAGATATGTAAATCTGTAATTTGCGAAACGAGCTCTTTGAAGACTCTAATGATATGTAACTTATTTCTTCCGATTCTATAACACTTTTCGTAGATACAACTCGATGCAGTGATGATTTTTTAATAAAGAGTTTGAGCAAAAAGGCCAGAAGTGCGCCGTTTCGCAAATTACAGATATGTAAATCTGTAATTTGCGAAACGAGCTCTTTGAAGNATAGATAAATAGGAATAACTATGTCGCAGCCAAGGGCTTAATTGAATAATTATTTACAATATAATTATGGTTCAATTAAAACTAGGGCCATTGACAAAGAGTCTCTATATAAAAAAATCAAGTGCTCTGTACAAATTGCTGGCTAAGAGTACTGCGGTTTACGAGACATTGCCATTTCCTCGATGACACATGGTCGGGACGAATGAGTTCTTGAAACGGTTAGTGTGGAATCGTGGCAGATTAAAAGTTCTTTTGCTTCTCAAGCTCTATGAGTCTAGATGACATGGGGGGAGTAGGTGAGGGAGACTGGGATCTTTCGAATTATCACTGAATAGCTTGGAGCAGTGATCATCGCGTCTTTGGCGTAGAGTACTGAGTCCATAGCTATCTAGGGATTGTTTATAAAATTGGTAAAGCGCAATTATTGACATGGCTCTTTCTTGAAGACGCCCGTAATCTCCACTAAGGTATTCAGGAAGGCTTTGGTGGAAAGAGGTACGGG